CTGTGTACATGGAAATCTATTAATGGATATGATTAATTAATACACATATGCATTTTAAAGGAACATAATGGCAACAAATCTATACTTTTAGATATGCAAATTATATAAGCATTGGAATATCGTATTTTGACCCATTAGTGAGAAAACCTTTCTCCAACACTGAAGGAAAAGTCTACTATTTCATAGAAATGAAGATGATAAAGGACAAGATATACTGTATGTGACAATAAATTTCTGTGGCATAGTCACCCCAGCAACATTAAGGGGAAAAGAAGAATGTATAACTTATGTTGTTAATGTAAAGTGAAGTTTGTGAAATATATTTAGTGTGTCTTGTACTCTCTGGAAAATTCAGGAAAATGGTTTTCCCTGGGGACTTTCATGCACAAGTAATAGTAAAAAGAACCAGTTTGACATTTCTAGACACCTCACAGCTTCTAAGCCTGTAGCAATTATAATACAATCTAAATCATGCTGATTCTCATTCCCTACCCTAAAAGTTTCTGATACGGTCTTTTAGTTTAATTTTTTCATTATTGCTTTTTTTTTGTTAATTTCTTGTAAAAAATGAAAAATAAGGTTTTCAAAATATATTAATATGTCAATTCTCTCAATATTTGCTTCATATGGGGTCAGTGAGCCACTGAGAACACCACTCTCCCTTCCGGGGATCTGTACTTTATCCTAAGAACTTTGGTTTGTTTGCCTCCTGTCACTTCAAAGACTGATCAAGACGCAGAGAAGAAAGACAAAATGTGTACTTATAGAGTATGAGGAGTATTGTTGCCATAATCTCCAGAATTCAAATATTTTAAAAATTTGCTGGATACATTCTTAAGGATTCTTTCCACATGCATATAGAGAAAGCATCAAAATATTATTTATTTTAATAAATTATTAGAATAAAACATATTTTAATTTAGTTGTAAAAACTACCTTTTATTGTATTTAAAAAGAACATCTTCTGGGCTCACCCCATGGAGTGATACAACCTTCCTGCAGTAAGGTCAGCTCAGTGGTTTTGTTGTCCTGACATAATCATTAATAACTCTCCCGTTTACACTACAAGTGCTATAGTTTTAACAATAATACTATCTTAATTATAATGTGTACAGATTATTTTCCATGCCTCCCAATTATCTGATTGCCTTGAAGTTAGACATTTCCAACAACAGTCAGAAAACGGAAGGATAATGATCACTGCTCCTGAAGGCTTTGGTTAGTCCTGCGTGTCCAACCTGTTCTAACTAAAATTTCATGTCCTGCTTAAAGGTTTGCCCCAAATGGCATCACACCAATTTGCTTAGTTTCTTCTGGTGAATCCCTCCTGCTCAGCACACCAGGCAGGAGAACATCAGCATGATGTGAAGATGGTTCATATCATTACGTTTTCCCTTACACACAAAGAACCCTGATACAGATTTGCATTGTGGTGGCCTTAAAGAGAGACTCAGAATAGATTTAGGCCCTCAGATACGTGTTTAAATGAATTTTATTTCTTGACTTCTCCTCATCTAGTATGAGATTCTTCTACCATGGGATTGATAAAGTTTGGGGACAATTGTGGCAATAATTTTTCCTTTTTAAAAAATTAGAATTTAAATTTAAAAAAATGAGTTTAATTTATTTTTTAAAATTAGTACATTAATTAAATACATATGAACTTGATTAATTACTAATTAAACAAGTAAATTCATTAGATTGATTTAATATTGATGAGCCTATCCTGATTTTAGAGTATTGTATTTAGAAAAATTATACCATATTCATGGATATGAAGAATTAACATCATTAAAATATCCATACTACCCAAAGGGATCTATAGATTTAATACAGTTCCTATCAAGATACCAATGGCATATTTCACAGAACTTGAACAAATATTCTAAAAATTTATTTGGAACCACAAAAGATCCTGAATAGCCTTAGCAATCTTGAGAAAGAAGAACAAAGTTGGAGAAAATACACTATCTGATATCAAACTATACCACAAAGCCATAGTAATTGAAACAGCATGGTACTGGCATAAAAACAGACATATAGATCAATGGAACAGAATAGAGAACCCAGAAATAAACTCATGCCTTTATGGTCAATTAATATTAAATTAAGGAGGCAAAAACATAGAATGGGCTAAAGATAGTCTATTCAATACACAGTGTTTGAAAAATTGAACATACATTGTGCAAAAAAAATGAAATTAGATCCTATTCTTATACCATACACAAAATGGTATAATTCATCCTCAAAATGGATTGAAAACCTTAATGTTAGACTCAAAACCACAAAAATTCTAGAAGAAAACATAGGCAGTAAAATCTCAAATATATCTCGTAGCAATATTTTTTTCTGATATATCTCCTGGGGCAAGAGAAACAAAATAAAAATTTAAAAATGAAACTATATCAGCTAAAAATGTTTGCACAGCAAAGGAAATCATCAAAAAAATGAAAAAACAACCCGCTGAATGGGAGAACATATTCACCAATGATTCATCTGATAAGCAGTTAATACCCCAAATTTATAAAGAACTTACAAAACTCAACACCAAAAAACCACAATCCAATTAAAAATGGGCAGAGCACATGAACAGACACTTCTTCAAAGAGGACATACAATGACCAATAAACATATGAGATGCTCAACTTCACTAATTATCAGAGAAATGCAAATGAAAACCACAGTGAGATATCACCTCACACTTGTTAGACTGGCTGTCATCAATAAATCAGCAAGCAACAAGCGTTGGCTGCAAGGACGTGAAGAAAAGAGAACCCTGGTGCACTGCCGGTGAGAATGGAGATTGGTGCAGCCAGCGTGGAAAGCAGTATGAAGTTAAATCAAAATATTACAATGGAACTGCCTTACAACCCAGCAATTCCACTTCCTGAAATGTATCCGAAGAAACTTGAACCACTAGCTTGAAAGGATACATGCAGCGTTCATTGCAGCATTATTTACAATAGGCAAGATTTGGAAGCAGTCCATTAGTAGATGAGTGGATAAGAAAGCAGTGTACATTTATGTAATGCAATACTACTCCACCATGCAAACGAAGGAAATCTTACCCTGTGCAACAGCATGAATAAACCTGGAGAGCATTACGCTAAGTGAAAAAGTCAGTCAGAGAAAGACAAGTACCATGTATTTCACCCATATGTGGAATTTAATGAACAAAATGAACAATCAAGCACAATATAGACCTATAGACAGAGATTAGGGAGGAGGCCTGAGGAACTGGGGCCTTGGAGGTATTGAGAAAAAATGAAAGAAAAATAAACAATAGACATGGACAACAGTGTGGATATTATTGGGGGTGGGGAAGTGGAGGAAGATATCAAAGAATAAATATTGGTGGACAGAGACTTGAGTTGGGGTGGTACACACATAGTACAGTGTTTAGATGATGTGTTGTGGGACTGTGCACCTGAAACATGTGTAATTTTGTTAACCAGAGTCACCTAAATAAATTTTTAAAAATAAATTTAAAAAAAACTTTAAAACTTATAAAAAAGACTTTAATCATAGGAAAAGTTTATATAAGTCTTATATGAGAGACACTAAAGAAGCTGCTAGCATCTGAAATTCCATATTTGGAGAAGAATATTTTTGGCCTTAAGCAAAGGCAATGCACTGGACAGTCAGCTCTTACCAGCATGTGTGCTATTTAATTTTACAATGTCAAAATAAAAAGGAACATCGGCAATCCTTAAAACAATGAGAGATTTTGCCCTGGCTGGTTTTGCTCAGTGATTAAAGCTTCGGTCCGTGGACCAGAGAGTCCTGGGTTCAGTTCCCACTAAGGGCATGTACCTCAGTTGCAGTTTGTCCCTGGTCCCAGTTGGGGTTGTGCAGGTGGCGACCACTCGATGTATCTCTCTCACATCTGTGTTTCTCTCTCTCTCTCTTCCTCCCTCTCTCTCTCCCACTCTGTCTGAAGATAAATGCAAAAATGTCCTCGGGTGAGGATAAAAAATAAAAGAGAGATTTTGTGGGACAATTTTGATTATGAATTTCATAGGCTCTTCAAACCCCAACCCACCTACTACTTGGCCACGACCAACTGGACTGTACCACTAGATTCCCATTTTCTCTACATCAAAACCCCCCCACTGTGTGTGCACTCGGTCTTTCTACACATTTCTATTGCTGTCTTGTTTTATTTGCATGTGTTTTTGAAAATCCTGTACAAGGTTTAATTTCTAGTTAAAATACAAGTTTCTCAATAGAGGATTACCATTAATCCTTACAATTAGCAAGAAGGAATAAATCTAAACTGATTCTTAAACCATACTTTGATAAAGGAGAAAGCGGGGTGGATATAAAGAATGGATGCCCTTGTGGGAAGAAAGAGAGTGGCTTCTGTGGGGACCAGAGCCCAGTCAGAACCTGCAGCAGTGGCTCCAGAACTGGAAGGAGACTGGCGGTGGGCAGGGGTCAGTGCATCTTGAAGAGTTTGTAGATGTGACTGGCTGAGAGGTGCCTTTTCTCATTCAGTACACATCCCTTGCAAAGTCAGGACCGTCATGGAGAGGGCGTGGAATCGGGTCGTACGAGACCGTATTAAGTGTTGATAAGCATTATACTCCTTGACTGGAAACTCCAAACACTCAAATTCCTCCATTCTATAATTCTAACATATTACCTATAAAACTAAAAATTATATTTCCCCCATTTTTACATTAGAGATGTTGCTAAAGAAAAATAATCAAGGGAATATTTTGTTTAAAATATATATATATATATATATATATACACACACACACATATTTTAGTTTGTCTAGTTCTACCATTTTTGGCAACACATTTGTTTTATTACAATGTTAAACTTTTGTTTTATATAAACACATTCATGTATAATTTAACTTTATTAACAAAAATGAGAATCTTATATTTGACATGTGATAATTAAAATGCTGACAGGAGTTTACAGTTATTTCAATCATTTTTAAATTAAAGCGTCTGCAGAACATTGCTCAGAGCTGACCCGAACAAATTACCTTTGTCGCCGCATCAAAGCAGATAAACCCTGTGCTGAAGTCAATCGTGAGTCCCATTAGATGGCTTTCCAGGACACAGGCGTACGTCTTGCACTAGATGGAACAGAAAACAGTTACTTTTCATGTGGTTGATCCAGTGTATTAATAGCTAATATTTATCCAAGACTGTGTGAAAGCTTCTGTAATACGTTCTAATATAATAGCTATCAATATTAGCAGTAATTGTGTAAGGAAGCCAGTGTTATCAACAACATCTGACTGTTAATGAAAAAGAAGCTGAGTGGTTTTTGACCTGCCAGGGTTTATGCAGGACCAATCTTTCTGAAAGGATTGTTTTTATCTTGTACCATACTGACTTCTCTTGCTATATTGGCAATAAAACTAGTACAAACATGTTTGATTATGTTAAGCTGTTCTGTCCCCCAGCTAAACATCATGGCATTTCTTTAAACCAAAAGTGAATTATTAAAGACTAAGGTTTTACTTAAATTTTTGGCATGTTAATTTTATACATATTATTAAAAGAGAATTCTCAGGCACACACATAGATTCTGTGGCCAAGGCAAAAAACACAACAAACAAAACATCTTCACCTTCACAGTCTCTGCATGTTCACCCATGTGGCACAACCTACTTCCCAGAGACATTTACCACTTGCCTAGTGTTGATTCTCCAGAGATCCACAACTGATGGCTTTTCACATTGAGACAGATTAAATGATAATTTCACTTACATAAACACTTTGGAAAGACTAGTAAAATTTAGATATAGAAATGTAAGAATAATACATATGAAATAAAAACTTTGGGTTTATATGCAACAGGTTACATTTTTATGTCCACAGGCCAGTTTCATTTGCATTCTGTTGCAAAGTTCAGTGGTAATTCAAATAAAGAAAAATACTTATAAATAAACAAGGTGAAAGAAAAGGAAGGAGAGGGAGAAGAGAAACCTATCTTAGGCACATTTTCAGTACCAATCCTGACATCATATTTGTTTTGTAATACTACATGCAAAAGTATATTAAATGTGCCCTGCTGGTGTGGCTCAGTACATTGAGCGTCGTCCCATGGACTGAGAGGTCCCAGTTCAATTCCCAGTCAGGGCACATGCCCAGGTTGCAGCCAATCGATGTTTCTCTCTCACATTGATGTTTCTATCTCTCTCTTCCTTCCTCTCTCTCTAAAAAAGTCAGTGAAAACATATATTTCTTAAAAGTATATAAAATGAATCACATACTCACTATAATGATAGATAAATGCATTTGCCATCACCAAAAATTTATATTCTATACTCATATGTTTAAGTCCAATTTACATAGGAAAGTTACAACTATGCCAAATTATGTATTTTGAATTAAGTTTTTCAAAAAAGCAGACTATAAGACAAACTTCCTAGGCTTTATAAGTCCATTTTGGGTGTGATTTTATTTAACACATGAGCAGATTTCCTGCGCACATCCACCTGTTACTACGTCGTTAAAACCTTTACCAACATTAAGGACAGTTCAAGGCTATCTGTTTCCTCCAACTTAGACATCATTGTTTGGAGTTGTCAAGTACTGTCATTTAAAAAGAATATGTCAGGTGGAAACATTACACATTATAGAACATTAAATTTACTTCTTTAAGCTCAGAATTACTAATTCAATCACATTGTCTCAATAACTATTAAATGAAAATAATATGTTATAAACATATATGATATAAATTGAGACATACTAAAATTTAATTATATAATATATAATCTTAATAAGCATATATAAAGAATACACTCAATACTGAAATATTTGATTTATTAATTTCTTTTTATTTTATAATATAAATTAAATTATAGTTAAAAAATAAAAAAATAATACTTTTTAGGGAAGTTCAAACTAGAAAAGCTTTGAAAGATTTTTGCACAATTAAATATTATTATACATTTGAAAATAATCACACATAAAATATTTATATGCCTTTATAGATGAGAGTTTACAGTCTATAGCTTGATAAAGCACATATGAAAGAGTCTGCAATAAAAATTACAATAAATCAATTTTTTAAAATAATATACTTTTTTCTTAAAAGTACCATTTTATAAAAGCTATATTTTTAATAAATGAATTAGTGTAAGTTCAAAACAATTATCTACTAATCCTAGTACCGTTCACTTACTCTGGGAAAGCTGTTTAAAAAAATAAGACAAGCAAAAATATTAGAAATACTGTAAATGGATTAGGCCTTATATTGGTACTTTGAGTATTAGAGAAATTTTGTAAGATTTTATTCATATAGACTTTCACCTTCCTATTTTACTATTCTCTAAACTTTCCAAATGTTAACCTTTATTTTAAATGACAATGTAGAATTTTTGCAAATGCCTGCATTTAAGGAATTACCCCTTAAATAAAAATTTTGCTATTTACATCATTATTAAGTATACACTAGAGATCAGAATATGTGTAAATAGGTAAAGGAATAGATTAGAAGCTAGGAAATGTGAGTCCCATTAATGAGAACCAATTTCAAAATAAAAATAATTTTATTTATTAATTAATTGTATTAGTTAATTCATTAATTTTAAACCTTTCTGTTTTTTGTTTTTTTTTACAGTAAGTCTTGTTACCTCTTTATTTTATTTCTTTATCAACTTTAATGGTAGTGGGAATATTGAGAACACAGACAAAAACATTGTAATGCTTTTCATATAAATATATTCATATCCTTGAAAACACTACCACCAAATTGTTTGTCATTGAATATTGATTTCTGATACAGTGAATAATATAAAAATATTTTCATATTTTTATAGAATATGTATGACAGGGAAATTACAAAATATATTTTAAAATCTAAAGCTTAAAAGGGATTAAATATTTTACTTTTCACTTACTAGGGGCACCGTGGATTGTCAGTGTGACTAGATAAGTGCATAGTACAAGGAAATGTACTTCTCAGCACATCAGCTTGGAGAATATGAAACCCAGATATTTTTAAAAAACATTATTGAAAAACAGTGAAAAAACATGTTATCTCTCCCATTTCCAAACATCAGGAGATTTACTTAAAATGAAATCTTAAATTGAGAGAACAGCAGGAAGAAAACACCATGTGGTTGTTTCCAAGTGAAGTGTATATTCTAGAAAAATGATAATTAGGAAAACCTAAAAATATCACTATAAATTTAAAATGGCAACTCTTATTAAACTAACATATTTTAATGCTTTAAAATGGTCTTAGATGTTGATACTTGAAATAAAATAATAATTAAGATAATTTTATCTCTCTGTTTATGATATAAAATAATGATTTGCTGAATTGAGTTTCTATACAGTTAAATTGTTAAAACAATGTTTCTCAGTTACTTTAGCATTTTTAGATACAGGCAGATCAGCAGAACTACTAGAAAATGTCAACTGAGAAATGAAATGAGTGACATTTGGGTCTTCTCTCGGTCCCCTTCCCCTGATTGTCATACTGTGCGGCTTGTGCTGAATACAGGATTGTAGTCAGAAAAACAACAATAACAACAACAAAAACAATATATGTCACAAATCAGTTTAACATATTGAAAAAATATGCTCCCAAGTCTCCTGTTGTAGACAGCATTCCAGAATTATGTAATGCTGTATTATCTTCATCATATATTTGTTTCAAAAGCAAGTATTTACTTTTGTGTTTCTTTAGGCCCTAGCTCTGAATCCATTTGCTTGTGGCAAGTGCACCCTAACTGTCCAGTTTTGCCACATGTCTCTGTCAGCGGTCAGAGGCAGAGTCAGAATTTGGTAACTTGTTCCATTTCATGGTTCTACAGGCTTAGAGGCTGAAGGTTCTATAAAGTTTGACCTACATATAACTTCATACTTAAGAAATAAAGTTTAGTAGATATCTATTGAATACTTGTGATATGCAAAATGCACTGTATACTTCAGTCGGTACATGAATGAAATACCCCAAGCTAACTCTAACTCAATGTCAAGCACACTTCACTCCAATACAAGACAGTGTGAGCAGAGCTAAGAAAATCATATTGGTGACAAAATAAAGTAATATTGATGTTCGAAAGTGGGAGGGTTTGAACAGAATTATTGGTAATCGGTAGGCAGGGTAGACTGGAATCAGCAAAATCTTCAAAGATGATATAATCTATGAAAATATTTTCAAAGTCTATGTGTAGTTTTGAAAGGTAGAGATGAAATGAAGGCTTTCTAGCAAGAAAAAGCTGTTAGCGTGAATGAAGCCATTTAGCTGAAAACTAGCTGGTCGTGACTGAAGAACAGCAAACTGTCTTGTAAAGGGTTAATTCAAACCAGAGCATTTCATTTTAGATTTAAAGTGGAACTGATTCTAATTACAATTACCAATACATTTTGATGAGTGAAAGGAAATAGCCGAGAGAGATCAAATTATAGAAAAATTAAAATGTTTTTCAGAGCTGAATTATTATTCATTTAATCACAATGGCTACTTATTGAATGTATTTGAGGAGAAAGTCAAGACTCCGAGAACAGTCTTTTCATGCTAATTTGAGTTTATATGAGAACTTGAGGCTAGTGGGCATGTATCTTGTGTCACAGATCCTCAAATTCCGTCAACTCTCACCTGTATCCGTTCTACTTCTAGAAAGGTTGCTGTTTGAAAGGCTCTTTCCCACTGGGCAAGGTCACAGTCCAACTCCACGGAGAAGTAGAGGTCCTCCCCAGACTCGGACTGCACAGTGAAACAGTGTTTCCGCTGGTCCAGCAGGTCACTGTCCTGATGAAAACCTGGAGTTACACAGGCTGGCAGACATCAATTCAGATTGCTAACATGGTCATACCTTAAATCATGTCGACTAACGCACGGTTGGAGATGCCTGTCATAAAATCACACTACAATATCACTAAATCTTCACTGAAAATGATCACAGTTCAGAAGAAGGCTAAATTCTGGGTGATGAGCATACAAGGCAATACACAGATGATGTATAATACTGTACACTTAAAACTTGTGTAACTTTAGTAACCAATGTCACCCCAATAAATTTAGTTTGAAAAAAATGGTCACTGCAGCCACAATTCCAGGACTCAGAGTCCATAATGAATACATTTCTTCTCCGAATTGACGTTAAAGCATATCCATAAAATAGAAGTTAGGATTTCTGGCTTCAACTTGTACTAGCAACATTTCTTACTGTACAAAAAGATAACACACAATCTGATGATGGTGACATTAAATAGAGTGTGAGTTTGACCTCAATAGAGATAATAGCCTACAGAATACTTTTTGCTCATTGGAAAGTATCATTTAATAACAGTAACAAAATATTAGCTAAATGTATCTTTGTGTGTTTTTCTCATTTATGACTTCTCTTTAGAAGTATCCAAGTCTTTTAGATTTATTCCAAGTGTCCCCGGACACTTTCAGAAGACCAAACATTGCCCTTTCTGGGATATGACTCAGATTTATAAAGCAATAATACACAGAAAAAATGTGTTACAAATAACTTTGCTAATAATGTATATAATATTCCTAATGTATTCAGATGTCAATGGGCATGACAAAGAGTATTTTTATTTGAAAATAACAAATAAAACAATAATGTTTTTAGACTAATTACTGACCACATTACTATTGCCAGTAATAAATTTTCTATTATACTTAAAACATAAAACTAAAGACAAAGTTGCCAGATATTGGTGAATTATTCCTATAGCAAGGTTTTGCATGTATCAGTATGATTTCTGCTCTTCTTCCCATTACAATTATGTAGTCCAATATTTGCTAATATGGGAAGTCACTTTTTTCTCACTTTTCCTGTTATAATTATCATTGCTATAATAATAGCTATATTTTCTTCAAGTTAATGGCATTTTTGGAATTAAAAATGGAAATGATAAAAGATGAAAGATAAATATTTTTATATTATATTAAATATAAATTACTTTATAAAATATATAACTAAACTATTATGTTCTTTATTGTTATGTTTGCTGCTGTTTCTTTTACTTGAACTTGTAGTGAATCAGAAAATAATGAAGTCATTAGACATAGTTATTTAAAACTAACGAAATCTGACCCACGCACCAAGAGGTCGCTGGTTTGATTCCGGGTCAGGGCACATGCCCAGGTTGTGGGCCACATCCCCAGTGGGGGGCAGGAGGCAGCCAATTGATGTTCTCCCTCATCAGTGTTTCTATCTCTCTCTCCCTCTCTCTTTCTCTCTCTCTAATAATCAATAAAGAAAAATAAAATAAAACAAACCAAATCTGTGATTTTTAATAAAAAAGAAGAGCAGACATGGGATAAATTCTTCAGCTATAAATAATTATTTTTCCTCTTTGGTTACTATTCTAACAATTAAAAATGAGAGGAAATACATACTATCAAAATTAAATGCTGCCAATTAATTTTTAATTAGACTTTTGGGAATAATCAAATCTCTAGAGGGACTTATTAAATATACATTAAGTCCTGTACAAATAAATGATAGTTTTAATAACCTATTATAATACTGTTTTTATTTTAATAAAAATATTCTTAATATTGTGTGTAGTTAAAATTTAGAAACAAGCCAAAATATTTTTAAGAATATTTCCCATCATTAGATGTTTAAAAGAGAAGTTTGGGAAATTGACTCAAAATATCACAAATCTGATTCTGTGCATCACACAATGAAAAGAATATTTGTGTATTATTCAGCCAATATGACATACATGGGAAAATAACATGTGTTTTAAGTTACATTGTAACAGAGTGACATGCTGGGTCTCTGACTCCAGTGCAAGTCTGCACTGTTGCCCTGGCCTAATAGCACCTACTTTTTCTTGCATACAGACACCCTGATCATTAGAGAAATTCTGCTGGTGGCTCAAGTTTTGTGAAAAGAGCCCCTCCCATTTTCCCTTCCCTTGACATAAAAGAAGCCTGAACTCTGTACTTTCTTAGGATGGACTTGAGAATTAGATCTCTCATCTTCTTGGTTGGTGCCTTCTCAATCAACCAACCTTTCTTTACTCCAAACTCTGATGTTTTTATTTTTGGCCTTTCGAAGCACGGGACCCACTGAATTTGGACCGGTAACAACATTAACTCAATAACTGTATAATTTCCACTTTTTTTGTGCTATGTAGAAATACATCAAAAATAAGTGAAAGTCAAATGGAAGTTCAATTTTTAATTTTTTGAGGTAACACCATATTGTTTTCCATAGTGGCTGCACCAGTCTGCATTCCCACCAGCAGTGCACTAGAGTCCCCTTTTTTCCACACTCGTAGCAGCACTATTTACAATAGCTAAGATCTGGAAATAGCCCAAGTGTCCATCAGTAGACGAATGGATAAAAAAGCTGTGGTACATATACACAATGGAGTATTACGCAGCTGTAAGAAAGAAAGATCTCTTATCCTTTGAGACTACATGGAGGGACCTGGAAAGTATCATCCTAAGTGAAACAAGCCAAACAGAGAAAGACAAGTTTCATATGATCTCACTTATTTGTGGAATATAATGAACATAACAGTCTGAGGAATGGGGTAGTCCCAGAGACGTGGAAGTGGGGTACAGACTGACAATCCCCAGAAGAGGGGGTGGTGGGGGAGAGATAAACCACAGAACTTATGTGCATGTATGCATGAAGAGTGGACATGGACAACAAACTGGGGAAAGAGCAGGGAGGGAGGGGGAGGGGGGAATCAGTGGGGGAAAAAGGAGAAACATCTGTAACAAAAATTAATTAATAAAAAAAAAAAAGAAGTGGAAGTCTGACAACAGTTTGGTGATTGCCAATGGGCTGGGGAGGTGGAGCTCATAAATTACTATTCATGCTTTCATAGTCAAATCTTATAAACTGAAAAATAAAAGTGTTCAACTTCTAAAAAATGTAATTTAAATAAATAATTACTATTAATGATTTTTAAATGACTTAAATTTAAATTCAAGTTATTTTATATATTAAAAATCATTTAAAATCAAACCAAATGAACACTCTTTAAATGTACATGAATTCATTTTTCTGCATATTAGCTGCCTTATTGTGGAAAAGAAACAATATAACTTTAATTCTCCTCCTTCTTCTAAGGAAACTAAAATTTGACATACGTGGACATAAAGTAAATTTCAGAAGATAATAAAGCATATCTTTCAAATACAATAACTAAATCAAAATAGACTACTGTCTTCATTTCCCTGAGGAGGGAACAGAAGTTTCACACAGTGGTCACTTTCCTGTTTTCAAAACTGTGTGGTCTAGGAATTAGTCCATTAGTCTGGAAGTCATTCAGCTTAAGTTTGAATGTCACCTTTACCACTCAGTTCCATCTCTTTCTAGAAATAGTAAAAGCATTTGTAAAAACAGGATCACAGTAGCAACCTCAGGAGCTTGTAAAGATTAAATGACATTAAATGTGTATCACTCATGTTATGTGCTCCATAATATCACTAGTAATTACAATATTAGCCATCACTAATATTGACTGTTACTAAAACCTGTATTAGATTAGACTCTGAGTTCTAGCTACATCGCAGCACCTATGCTCACACACACACGCACACGCGCGTGCACACACCTTTCTCTATAGTAGTGTGATATTGCTCTGGTGAAACGTAAGACATATGGGGAGAGTCAGAAAGGTTAAATTTTCTAACAAAATCTGCAGCATTCATAAGGAAAGAGAAACATGCTTGCTGAAGTGGTTTGTTCTATAGTCAAGTTTGACTTCTCCCATTCTCTAAATATTTTAGGGGTGCTCTATTTGTGTGTGTGCCCTCAGAGGTATGTGAATTCTGTCCCAGCTTAAAATAGCCTTGTATATGTTAACCCTAATCTCTATAGACTCTTCTTTTCTTTTCTTTTCTTTTTTCTTTTCTTTATTGATTCTTAGAGGGAAAGGAAGGGAGAAGGAGAGATAGAAACATTAATGAAAGAGAACATTGATTGGCCGCCTCCTACATGCCCCCCACTAGAGATTGGGCCCACAACCTGGGCATGTGCCCTGACTGGGGATTGAACCAGCAACCTTTTGGTGCATGGGTCGATGCTCAACCACTGAGCCACACTAGCCAGACTATAAATATTTCTTTATTGTTCCTGTTAATAATTGTTATTTGAATAATGTCATATATATTACAAAATGCTTTTATGGGCATCATCTCTTGATCCATTCTATATTTGAGACAAGGTCTAGAAAGTTTAAATGAATTAAACAAGTAAAGATACTGATAATTCAGAGATTTTTTGAATTTGTAGTTAAAAGATATTTTTTAAAAACATAACTACTCACAAGCTGCTCAGATTATTGGCATTAGAACAGATATTCTAATATTACAGTTCTTAAGTTCAAAACTCTTTGGTGGGGGAGGAGGGATGAGTGGTCTAAATTCCCGCAACCACCATAATACTAGCAGAATGGTAGTTTTGAAAAAAGAAATTATCCTTGGTAGCATCCTCCTTGGCACTAAAATTTACCTGATTCAGGTGCAAATACCTTCACTGATATCTTAGAGCAAAACAAAGGTTGCTTTTCTGACTCTTTTTGGGGATACAGTGACCTCAACCAACTTCCTGTCCTTCCAACATGCCCCTCTGTTCCAGCATTCATAACAATCTCCTTGTTTAATCTGCCCACACAGCACAGCTTAAGCTCCTTGACTGGCTTAATATGTGTTTGATTTTACTTTCCACAGGATTTAAGAAAGAAAAAAGAATATTCATAAGACAGCTAGTTCATATGGAAAAGTACTATGCACCTTTCAAAGGGAAAAATGTTTTTTTTATA